CTCGGAGTCTACCCTCCTGCTGTCGGCTTCCATGCACTCAGCCTCCCGCCTCAGCGTCTCGATGTAGCCCATGAACAGCGGCTCCAGGTTGCTCTCGCAGCACTTGCGGTTCTGGTAGAACTGCCACTTGGTCTCCAGCAGCTTGTTCTGCTGCTCCAGGAAGCGCACCTGCCATTGCGGGTGGGAGGAGGATTAGGGGGCTCCTGTGGCCTCAGAGCCAGCCCGGGATGTGGAAGGGGCATTGTTTTCATTGAACTCCCCAGCCTGGAGCTCGGGCAGCAGGACACAAGGTGCCTTCCCGGTTTCCTGCTGTTGGTCTGGGCCTAATTTCCCAGCTTGGGGATGGGGACAAGAGTCTGGGAATGGCCAGCGCCTGCCCTCAGGTGAGTTACGACCTGATGAGTCCAGGTGGCAGGTGGCAGGTGGAGGTCTCAGCCCTCTCACTCTGAAGCCAGGTGAGGCAGGAGTCCGCGCAGGCAGTGCACCCGTATTCACACCGCAGATGGAGTGTCTGAGGGGTGACTATCAGGGAGACGAGGTCCCATCCAGGGGAGCTCGGCTTCTAGGTGCTCCCCTTCTTCATCTGGCACCAGTGCCCCCTCAGAGGAGCGCAGTCCCCACCCAGGGTCTGTGCAAGCCTGTCTGAGTTCAGCAGCAGGGGGGTGTTCCTCCCGGACCTCCTGAATATAGCCTATGCCCCGGGCAGCGTGGCCACACTTTTCCTCCACAAGTTCTGCCTCTCTCAACTGTCAGCTGAGTCTGTCTGGTTCTTTTCTGCATCTGTGTGTGTGTGTTCTTCTACCACCAGATGAGGTTCTCAGACAGGCAGAAATATCTCTGTCTCTGAGCTCTCCCCTTGTTGTGCATCACTGGTTTTACTCCTGGGTGGGGGTTCAGGAATGGTGTGATCCAGGACACCCACCTTGTCGATGAAGGCCGCAAACCTGCTGTTGAGACACTTGATCTCGCGGAAGCCTCCACAGACGCTGTGGCTGCCGAAGTTCCCAGGAAGGCCGCGGTAGCAGGAGATGCCGCGGTAGGGGGCGGCGGTGATGCAGCAGCGGCCGGGCCGGGGCCCGCAGGCCGAGGCGCAGCTGAAGGCATTGCCACCGCAGTAGGATCCACAAGTCATGGTGCTTTGGGGGGGTTCAGGAGTTTGTGAAGATGGAGATGTCCAAATGGAGGGTACAGTGTACGTGTGTTCTGGTGTTTACTTCTTCAACTGCTGCAGGCCTTTTATATATGTGGGGAGCCTGGTTGGGAGCACATGATCTGCAGCAATTAGATGTCTTTATGGGCTTGGGTTGTTTAGCTGCTGTAGCTCCTTGCTTAATGTGCTTAATTGTGGCCCAGATGTAGCCAGATGTTTATAGTTCTTTGCCTTAAAATGCACAATTTTCTTCAAAGGGCCAGCTCACCTCCCCCACATCCAACTCAACTTCCCAATACACAGCTGGTGAGACAGAGGTCTGAATACAAGGTGAGCTGTGACTCAGGTGCATGGTGGGAGAGGAAGGGGCGGAGCTGCGGCTTCCCCTGGTCCAGCCCCTTTGATCCGACCGCTGTTGCTGTCCGTGGTTCTGATCGCATGGGCCGGGAACGTTGGGGAAGTATGACAGGGTCTGAGATGGAACTTGGTGAGCGTGGTGGTTTCACTGACCCTGGTGGCCTCTTGTAGCACCTCAAAGCCCCGTATTTACACACTATGACTTAAACACCCACACGGTTCCAATATCCCCACTCCTGCTACCTATACCTATTAACATATTCTCTCTCACTTTCTCAGACACACTTATGAACACACCCACACACTGGCATTCAACACACAGACTCACACTCACAGGTACACACCTGCACAGTCACCCACACTCACTAGTACACAGACCTGTCCTTAGGTCAACTTATTAGACCATCTTGGCCATGTGCTAAGAGGAGGCATTCCCTCAGAGTCTTCCAAGAGTTATCGGGGGACACAAACTGACTCACTGGCTGCTGGAAACCCCAAAACTTTCCAACGAGTATCAAATTCTGGATCCCACCTCAGTCCTCTGTGCTTTCTCCAAGGTTTTTTCAATGAACACCACAGTTAGGAGTCTGTACAGCATTTTATCAGAAGGTAACATCTTGATCAATCTACGTGAGGAGAGCTTCCAGCCCTCTGCTATCACCTCTGAGCCCCTCTCCTTTCCATGCTATTCCCCCCTGGAGTCATTCTCTACACAGCAGTTTGTAAGTAACCTTGGAAAGTGTCAGAACAGATCCACAGTGGTATGTGCTGTACGACTAGTGTGGAGTGTGCACGCCTTGAACTCACGAGGGCTGAATAAGGGCCAAGGAACTGCCCCGACTAGCTCTGTGTGGCAGGGGGTGGGGTGGGGGGGTGAGGGTCAAGACTCATCTCTCTTCCAGGAAGTGCCATCCCCTCACTGCTGTGCACTTCCTCAGCCAACTTCAGAATGCAATGTGGGTGGGCTTCGTTATTATCATTAAGAAAGAGTTGGATCTTGGGCAGCATTTTTTTTTACTTGTTTGGTTGGTTTGGGTTGGTTTGGTTTGGTGTGCATGTTTCGTAGGGGGTTTTTGTTTATTTGTTTATTTGTTTTTTGAGTTCATGCTGTGACTCGCTAATGGGAGCAACTAGAATTTTATTTTAGTGAACTAGATTAGAATAAAAATTAAATAAGTAGACTAGAATAGAAAATAGGGTGCATCCCACCTACTAAGAATAATACTGTTTTGTGACCCTTTTGTGAGTTGTGTGTGGCGTATACCTATGTCTATCCTTATTCTCTATGTGAAATTATTAATATGCTTGCTACTAAGATGTTGAATACAGTATGTATCAGTTAAACACATGGACCCAGATTCCAAACCACCTGGTCTCATGTTCCAGCTCTGCCACTCTCTGGCTGTGTAACAGGCAATTTACTAACCTCTCTGTACCTCATTTCATGATTTGTAAAATCAAGATAATAATAGTACCCAGCTCGTAAAGTTGTTGTAAGGATTAGAAAAAGTAATCCATGTAATCACTTAAAACTGAGCCTGCACACTGTAAGAGTGTAATCACATTAGTTGTCATCACTGCTGCTGTGGCGGGTACAGTGGCAGGTTTTATGGGGAGGTAGGAGTACGTGTTGTTGTTGGCGCTGCTGCTATTGCAGGTGTGAGCATCTCAGCAGATTTGATGGAATCTACCCGCCCACATTCCTAAACCACCTATGTTCAATTCCAATTAATGACACCTATCTTATAGGACTAGTAAAAGGATTAAATAAATAATGCTGAGACAATACTTAGAACGTGGCACATAGACAGTGCTCAATAAATGCTACCTACTCATGGGCCCAGTCCAAGAGAAAGGGAAGACCTGGGATCTTTAACCAGGGTTATTCTCTTGTTCCTGGATAACAGCAGACAAACAAATGCCCCTTCTTCAATCCCCACACCTACCTGACTACCCATGGAAGGTCTAATGAGAATTTCTTCTTTTAGGCAAAGGGAAAATGTCACCAGTCTTTGGACAGCATGCATATTGAATGAGAAGAGAAGCTTGGATAATACAAAAGTCTGTATTCTGTGAATAATTCATAAATCTGTATTTCTTATTTGGCTTTAGCAGACCATCAAAAGTCCTCAGTCATAAATCAAACAATAGCATTCTCACTCATCTTGATATTTGCCTGATTCTGAACCCTCCCTCCCCGATTGGTCAGTAGCTGCAGGGATGCCATGAGGCTGAGAGTGAGAAATACACCCTTGAGAATCCCACCCAAATATAACAGGACTCCAAAGACAGCAAGAGAAGGCAAGCTTTCACTGCAGCTGGACAAATGGAAGTTGGAGTTGAGAAAGAACTTCCCAGAAAGAGGGCATGGGTTCATCTCTTCCATTTACGGGAGCTATATATATAAAAAGAAAAAAAATCCTTATTCTGAGGTGGACACTACATTTGTGAAGGTAACATCTTGATCAAAAAACCCTCATATCTGGGAACCAGCAGTTAGCGTAATGGCTATGTCGCTGGACTCCCATGTAGTCGACCGCGGTTCACGTCCCAGACCTGGTGGCTTAAAACTCACGCCGGGGCGTGTGCGTGCGTGCCCAAGATCCCGAGAGGAGAACGAAGGAGAAGGGATTGTGGCGTGGCCATCCCCCCGGGGGGTGATTTCTCACTTTCTGTCTCTCTGTCTCTCTCTGTCTGTCTGGCGAGCGCACATGCCCTATAGCAAAAATCTCTCCAAAATAAAAAAAAAAATGCCCTCATTTCTGGAAATCAGAATCTTTTCTTTCAGCTCAAGTAGACCTTGTTTCAAGGGACACCTGGAAGAGGAAGGAGACATGGATTCTGGAGTACCAATCTGATTGGGAATATGGACCCACGTTCATGAGAAAGGCCAGATGTCTGAACAAGAGCTGCTTCTCAGAGATACCATAGAAAGTTGAGGAATGTGGGAACCAGCAGTTAGCATAATGGCTATGTCGCTGGACTCCCATGTAGTCGACCGCAGTTTGCATCCCAGACCCGGTGGCTTAAATCTCACGCCGGGCGTGTGTACGTGTGTGCCCAAGATCCCGAGAGGAGAATGGAGGAGAAGGGATTGCGGCGTGGCCATCCCCCCTGGGGGGGTGATTTCTCGCTTTCTGTCTCTCTGTCTCTCTCTGTCTGTCTGGCGAGCACATGCACCCTATAGTGAAAATCTCTCCAAAAAAAAAAGAAAGTTGAGGAATGCAATGCCTACTGACAGTGTTCACCCCAGGCAACGTGAAATGTGACTAGTCTGATGGGAAAGACAAGGGAGGCTCCCTGAAAAAAGTGAGAACAAGCTGTAGCAAGGAGGCAGGCAGGGCAAAGCTGATGAAAAGGTATTCATTATGGGGGTATTTAAAGGATGAGACAGGGCCAAGTGTGGACAGCAGGTGTACCCAAGGGCTCTTGAAGGAGTGGAAGCAATCGTGAGATGCTGTGTCAGTGGAGAAAGAAAAAGGAGGACATTCAAGGCAGGGACTTCATACACAAAATTGTTGTCACCCCTGTGACTCAACTCCATCACTGGAGACTGGAAGATAACTGTGGGATAAACATCTGGAGGATACCAAAACATCTGCATGCTGAGCTTGTGGGTATCCAGGGGCCATGTCCTTTCTAGCCTAGCAACCCATGACAGAGAGCAGGTGCAGGCCAGTTTCCAGTGAGGAAAGTTCAAGGGTGATGGAGTTGCTGTTTACACACCAGAGCTGTTGAGCTGTTGCTGAGGGAATTGACCTCAGGGCTAGCCACCAGGCAGGATGGTTGGGTTGGGGAGTTGAGGAGAAGCACAAGACAGAGCCTTGACTCCTCAGCCAGGACAGCCCAGGACATTGGCCAATTATCTGTCAGAACCCTACAGAAGGGAGTGCCATTGGACAAAATGGCCAAAGGCTCTTGTGGGAATCCTGGGTGGGGCTGGAGCTTGACTCAAGAGCTCCACCTTGATGAGATCAGTCTCACTAACCAGGTGAGCCCTTGTACCCCCTCTGCCCCTTCTAAGGGTTCATCCCTATGAACTCGGCAGTAAGATTGCCCACCCTCTTCAGCTAGGTCTACACCTTGCCCTCAGTGCCGTGCCCTCCCTCCATCTATCTCCTCCCCTACTCTTCCAACCCTGGGGTGTTCACCCTATCATTCTCCCCTAGGTCTTATCCTAGTTTTCCTCTACTGTCCTCTACTTCCCTCTTCGTCCCAGCTATTTCCCTGAACTTTACCATTACCCATCCCCCAGTTTCCCCAGCTTCCCCTTCGCAGCAAATCTCTTTTCTTTCTTCCAAGTGGCCCTTAAAAGTAATAATCTAAGACAATCTCCTTCTTCTTTTCCCTAGAAATTTCCTCCCAAGCACTTTTCTCTTTCACTCCTCAACCCAATCCCTGAATCTCCAAAGCTTTCTCTACTCTGCCCCAAAACCTTTGGGATCATAGTCCTTATTGGCTGAATTTTCCTACTACCCATCATAGTGCAGGCTAAGAACTTTGGTTTGGTCAAGGATATATCTCACTCAGCTCCTTCCTCCTTCAGGCCCCAGCAAGGAATGTCACTCCTTTCCAGCCCCACCCTTAAGAGCAGTCACCCTTCTGCTCTGCTTCAAGTTCCCACCCCATTCTACCACAAAGCTTTGCACAATTAACTACCAAGCTTTGATGGTTCCATTATTCAGCACTTAATATACACTTAGTATTCATTTCATTCATTCAACAAATATTTACTGAGTACCTACTATGTGCCAAGCCCTTGAACTATATCCACAAACAAAACAGTTGTACACATTGATGAGCTGCAGGGCTTGCATTTTTCTTCATGATCCAGGTAATTGTCCAGCATTTCTCTTAAAACTGGAAGTTCATCAAGAACAAAGTGAGTTTTCTATCTCCTGGCCCTGAATGAGAAAATTCTGCAGAGCCCTGAAAAGGGTATGAGGAGACATGAGTGAGTGCGTGTGTTCATATGTCACCTACAAATACATCAACTGTGTGATACTTTTATTGATTATAGGTGATATGCAGAGGGGAGGGCAATGAGACAAACTCTTCCCTTCTAGGGGGGTATAGTTCTGCGTGCAGCCCTGCTCCCACTCACATATAGTGTGAACAAGTCTCTTCACCTCCCCAGAGCTTAGTGTCTTCATTTGTAACTAGAATAACAGCACCAATTGTGAAAAACAAATGAGTTAATTAATACATGCTGAGCTCTTAGACTAGTACCTAGTATGGAGTAAGGTAGACATCAAGACATGTTTTTAAAAAAATCCAAAAAAAACTAAAAAGTTTAGATGGATAGTGATATAATAGTTTTCTGCATTAAACATACACTACTTACATAACTTTTTGAAAATATTCATATGCCCTAGAAACTGTCTTGTACAAATATACCAGAAGATGTAGAAAAGAATGTTCATGGCAGCTCTGTCCATAATATAGAACTCTGGAAACAACCATGAGACTATTGGGCTAGAGAGGTGAATAAGCTATGATGTATTCATACAATGTGTACAACCCACAGTGAAATTAACACAATACAGCTACAGGAAGCAACACTGAACAAGTAAACCAGACATGAAAGAATATATGATTTCATTCATATGAAATTGAAGAACTAGAAAACTAAACTATACAGTCTATCATTGAGGGATGCATACATTGACCATAAAACTGTAAAGAAACAGGACCAGTAGATAGTACAATGATTTCATCTCTGGACTCCCACATAGTCAACTGTGGTTTGAGTCCCAGACCCGGTGGCTTAAAACTCACATTGGGTGTGTGTGCATGCATGCCCAAGTTCCCAAAAGGAGACTAGAAGAGAAAGGACTGCTTTGTGGCTATCCTCCCAGGGGGTGATTTCTTGCTTTTTGTCTCTCTCTATCTTTCTGACGAGTGCACGTGCCCTATCGCAAAAAAAGCTCTCTTAAAAAAAAAAATCAAGGAATAAATTAACACAATATCCAGAAACAAGATCACTCTCGGCAGGGAGTACAGTTGGAATAAGGGTACAGTGGAAGTTACTGAGGTACACATACATTCCACGTCTCCTGTAGGTGGTAGGCACACCACCCAGACTTTCTTCTGCCTGTTGACGTATTTCACCATAAAGATAGCTTTAACTTCTATAAAGTTAAAATACATGAACTTTCCATAGCGAGAACCAAGGCCATACAGTGCTGACTCTATAGGTCTTCTCTTTTCCCCACCACAAGTTTCTTGCTTGAAGAAAACAACCTGAATGTCCTCTCAGGTCTTCAAAAATTAGTAGCAATTGGTAATTCCTGGAATTTAATGACATGATGTCACATTTAAATTGTTCATGTTTAAAATTGCTTCTTGCATCTTTAAAATTGCTTAGCAAGGGCCAACCATTCATAATTAGCTCACACATATGTATGTCATTTTTATGAGGAGTTACATTGGTAGAATAGGTAAAGTGTATGTGAGATGCACCTTGACTCATGGCACTCCTTGGGACTCCCAGCCAGCTGGTTTTTTGGGGACACCACTGCTCAATTGCAAGCAGTGCCCAGAATTGCAGATGAGGGTACTAAGAACTTTGGAAGTGCTGGCCACAACTGCCCTGAACACATAAAGTGACAGAAGGTGCCTTGCTCTCTTCTGGAGAGACCAGATGGCTGACACAGTTCTTCACCCCCATGTCTACTGCCCTGAGCCTCACTCTTTCTTATTCTCCTCCTTCCTTCCCTTTTCCCATCAACCACCCTGCCCCGTTCTCCTTCCCTAAGGCACAGAAGCTAGAGTGGGCTGTGAGCTACATCTTCCCAATTGAAGGCAAACCTCTGCACTTTATAAGATATTTTCCTAGGGCCTGCTCTATTGCCATGGGGCTGGTTCATGGGTAAGTAGAACACAGCACAATCTATCAAAGTACTATAGTACACCAGGGTACACAGGCTGATGTTGGCCATCCCATCCCTTCTCTTCTTAGCCACACTGATCTGCATACCAACCCAGACTTCTCTCCAGCCCCAAACGCCTTCTCACTGCCCTTGTGTCATACACACCCTATTGGCCCCGCCAGGTCCTAATCATCCCAATCTCCTCTGACTGCCTCCCACCCCAAATCCACAGGTATCACCTCCTAAACAACTTTATCTACCCTCTTGAAATGTTCCAGGGCTTAGGAAACCCAAGGGTTGTCAGAACTTGGGAGAAGGTATTGCTTCTTCCAGCTCCACCACTTACCAGATAGGCTCTCTGAGCCTCAGTTTCCTCATCTGTAAAGTGGGGATAATGTGACAATCAGAGAGCATATGGTAGACAAGGATGTTCACCTAGTAGGTGACCTCCTTATCAATCAACTCTGAATGGTTCTCTTCTCATTAGAAAGGGGAAATGTGCTCAAGGGATCCAGTTCAGCATCATCCAGCTCACATCTCTGTGCCTCCTGGGGTGGTACAGTAAGAGCTATACAACATTCCTTATGAAATAGGCGGCCCCCAAAATGTTTCATTTCAATCTAATCAAGCCCCTAACCTAGTGCTGTCCGGTAGAACTTTATGTGGTGGTAGAAATGTTCTTTCTCTGCGCTGTCCAATAAGGCGGGCACCAGTCACCTGAGCTACTAAACACAAAACGGGATCGTGCAGCTGAAGGACTACATTTTTCATTTAATTTTTTTCTTTTTTTAAATTTTCAGATTAATACCTCCATCTTGATGTACACAATAAACTGGGTTGTTGGAAAAGACATGACGCATTTTTGCATAGAAAAAATATGTCATGACTTTTCCAACAACCTACTCTATCAGAGTATTTTTTATATAATTTTAACTGATTTAAATTTAAATAGCAACACGTGCTTATTGCCTACCATATTGGACAACCCAGCTCCACATCGAACTTGCAGTTTACAAACAGCACAAGGGAGAGACCCACGGAGAAATCACACCAAACCAGTTGTTAAGAATCCCTAGGGGGGGAACCAGCAGTTAGCGTAATGGCTATGTCGCTGGACTCCCACGTAGTTGACCATGGTTCGT